ACACACACACACACACCTGTGATTTTGAATCCTGCTTGGCTATTGGGCAGCTCCAGAGCAAACAGCCATCCAAACAGCTCTCCTATTGGTGCAAGTGGCATCAGAGCCCAGCCCACTGGCTCGGGCACCTGACCAATCGAAGAGACCGGAATATGAAATGTGGATGAGAAAAAGTAAATCATATTGAGTTCTTGAATAAGATTTTAAATGTATAAAGCAACATATCGAACTGGAGTCCTACCTCGCTGATGGCAGTGTACGCTCTCCCGTCACCCACCACGATGTAGGCGTGAAGATCAATGTTGTTCAGCTCCACTGGAGTCGAACCCACGGTCACCGTTCCTTTCACCTTACCGCTAACACGCTGTGGAGCACCTGGAAGAGCAACACAGGGATTACACAAAAGATAAACTACTAGATTTAAACACAGAAGGAAGATTAAATGTGTCTCTTTTGGTTAATGGTGGCGCTCTAACCCTCGGGTAGACAGTGGCGTCCGTTTCCATAGAAGCCAGGTCGGCAGTGACAGCAGAAGCCTGTGGCGTAGTCGGAGCAAATTGCATTCTGGGAGCACTGCTGCTGGAATCTGGAACGGCAAGAAAGAGCAAAGAAAAACAAAAAGAGACACAATCAAAACAGACGAACCAGAGATATCGTTTACTTCCCACAATGCAACCCAACTCCAACAGTTTGGTCAGAGATTGTGTTATGCTAATAACTGCTAACGTAACCTAGCGTTGCTAGCCTTAAACAGAGATGAGGAGTGGGCTACAAAGTCTGTCACTTCTTTCTAACTCTGCACCCTTTGTTTATTCTTGTAGTCTTCAGCCCAAACTGACGCTGACTCAAGTGACATCACTTGAGGCAATGTATCAGATTTTGTACAGCTCCCTCTCTTTTTATGCCTTATTATTTCAAAAGGCTGGGGGGATTCAGAAGGAAAAGGAATTCATTATCAACACTGATAATGCTGGGAAGGACCTTGCTATTTATAAAGTGAAACATAAGGTTCAGCTCCCCTCCCCATCCCAAAAAACCTGATAAAGTCTCTAATTAAAACAATCAACAACCACTATAAATCGTTCTGACATACATTCCCTTTACCAGGAACAACAGGTATATATCATGCATCTTCACATACCTGGCACATGTTTCTTTGTTCTCCGTAGTGTACTGGATCACTGAAAGAGAGAGAGAAATAACTATTATGCATTACAAATACAATAGATATATAATTAATATCATAATGACTCCTATCCAGAATCCTGGCTAAATGACAATACGACTAAACATATAGAGAGATACATACAGACTATTACTGTCATTTGCAGTGTTCATGTTTTCCCTTGATCTCTTTCTGGTATTTACATCATACAAACATGCAGGTTGAAATGGGGGCCATTAAAGGTTGTTTCCATATAAGTTCAGCTGGAGAGAGAGAATAAGAAGGTGCACAAGATCCATGGAGACACATGGAGACACACACACACACACGTCAAGGCACTACTTGGACAGAAACCAGCTGTTGCCTCCCACACCCACTAATCCACACACACACATTCACTGCTGCTTTATGAACCCCAAAAGGCATCTAAAAATGTTTCAACACATATTTCATAAGTATAAACTGTAAGGTCTTAAAATGTCATAATAAATAACTAATAAAGTTACATATAGTGTTACAGTTATTTATATATGTTGTTCATAGAAGCTTTAACACATGCTAAACACTGATGGATGATCTCTCCTGATCTGTTCCTGTGACAGATAGAAACAGATGTGCTCTGGATTTATTTGGAATAAAACAGAACTGGATAGTCAGCATGAAAGTGGTGGTCACCTTTGCTGAGCAGGCAAAAAGTAAGAATTTCTCTCTAAAACTCTCACTCTTCACTCTCTAAAATGAGCAATTTATGGGTATGAAAGAAAGATAATTGTACAGCAACTATTACTAAAACTTGCCAGTGGTGATTACCAATCCTGAGTGCAGCAACTTTCACTAGATTCCAAACAGCACATGGAACAAATGAGTGAATCTCTGTTTGTCTTTTTTGTAAATGGCTGATTTGGGATACAAATACAGCATTCTATCATCCTACAGGGGCATCACACACCCACACACAGGAGGAGAGGCGAGAGAGAAGATGAGAAGCAAAAAAGTAGAGGGATAGAGGGAGAGAGGTTTAGACAGATAGAGAGATGAAAGGATGCGGGGGATTGGCAGAGTGGAAGAGAGGCCATGGGTTTAGTTTATAAGGGAGAAATATATGGGGAAAAGAGGATGTTTACATCCAAACAGATATAAAAAAATGAGTCAACAATATGACAATGTGAGTCAGTGTGTTTCATCAAAATCTTAAATGTCTATTTCCCCTCATTTGTATGATGGGATTTACTTTCCACACATAAAATTGATTTGAGGCTGAAAATTTTTTGTGCTGAATAGTTGATTCCCATCAGGCTCAGCTGTCTTAGTTTCTAATGCTAATTAGCAAATAGCAAGCAATGTTAACACGCTAAACTAAGAAGGTGAACATAGTAAACATTATATCTGCATGTTAGTGGAGTCACTGTGAGCATGTTAGCTTTAACTCAAAGCATTGTTTTTACAGAGAGCCGCCAGCATTACGTGTAGGTGAAAATAATACAGTGCAGCCAGAAAGAAAATTAAACTTATGCAATTATGTTTCCATAATTCTTTACACAGTTTTGTTTTATCAATAAGGCACCCTTGTTCCTCCTTAGTAAAGCAAAAATGACAATGTTTAGTTTTGTTTCCCTTTAGCTTTTCTTACTCATAAATTAAAAATCTGCATTAAAACAGGTGGATGGAAACTCATTAGAGACACGCTGAAAGAGACTTTAGAATGTATGTTTTCGCTCTTTTCATCTTTATATGCTGTTTTTCAACAAAGTGTCTACATGTGAAAATGCACTGTGTCGTTGTAGTTTGTCGAGGTAAAAGGCGCTTTTTTTGAAAACCGTGCACACATGAAGGCTGTATTCACCTTCATACGCATTAGAGGAACAGTTTGACAATATTGGGAAAATCCGCTCATTCATCTTCCTTGAAGAGACCTATCCGCTCTCATGTTTATACACCAATTACGAAGCTACATCCTGCAGGCGGTTTGCTTAGCATACAGACTGGAATCTATCCAAAGGCATATGAGAATACAAGCTCCCAAAATGTCAAACTATTCCTTTAATTTGCGCTCTGTTCTCCTCCCTCCTCTGTCTGTGTGGTCAGTTTGCTGTGTTTGAGTCTGTCTGAGTGTGTAAAGTATTCCTGGTGTGCTTTACAGACTCACAGCTGGAAGACAACAAATTGCAGCCAACACACATCAAAGACTTTCAGCCAGAGTGTAGCTCAGCATGTATGTGAGTGTGTGCTCCGACAATCCCCGCACACACACACACACACACACACACACACACACACACAC